GGCAAGATATACAATTTATCTATTCAAAATACACCCTAGTAAATATTTCTTCATTTAATACTTACAAACAGCAAGCGTGATAGTCTCTCCATTTTATTTTCTGAGAACAGTGGAGACAGTCGCGGTTTTGTGTGAGGATTAGTGCATACCACACATACAGTCTATTCATCAGGCAGCTGCAGTTTCAATGTGGGCCGGCTGCTGGACATGGCTTTGCATACTGGGCATACCGCAGCCCAGCAGTAGCGGTCAAAAGAATCCCGGAGTTAAGCATTAAAACTTGAGATCAAGGCCATCCACACATGACGGCATTGGCCAACCCAAGCTTGCAAAATTAATCTGAAGGGATTTGTGCTTTAGTCTCTGGTGAAAGCAGATACTGGCATTTCTTATTTACCTGCTGGAAGGGTACATTGTCTGGACACACGCGGTTCTTCTGTTGAAAGACAAACTTCATGGGAGTCTTTGGAAGCAAATACATCGGCGTTCATCTCAAATATCTATCACAAATGGTTCGGCTAAGGAAGAAAAGGTGCTGGCATGGCTGGAGTCAAGCAATATGGAAACAGTAAGGGAAAGATGAGATGAAAGCCATCATACCATAAAATATGAAATACAGCACGTTAACATTGAGAAATGTTGTGACTTTAGTCTCTTCATAAATGTGAATCATTCTTTCTACCAGTACGGTAGACTGACTGGAAGTACAGATGTATGGTTATTAAGGGAAGTTAGGTTGTCATGGTGGTCCTTTCCTCGCCATTCACCCCCACAGCCATGGCTTGATTCCTTGCTCAGTCCACATATGGAATGTGAATTGGGTTTTTAGTCCCCACCTTATTCCATTTTACCCAGAATATTCCTTGGCGGTTTTCCTCCCACCTCTAAATTGCTTCTAAACCAAACTCCAACTGCTTCTCACTGTCTCCTCTCCTCAGGTTTCTTCAGGTTTATGAGCTACGTGCGCCAGGCACCTTTGTGGGGTCCTTGGTTATAATTTCTGAAACGATTACACTGCCTTCTCTTATCCTCAAAATATTTCAGTACTTCCAAAATTGAACAACTCAACCTTTTTTTCCCACTTACGCACGAGTTCTCAGTCCAAAAAGGATACCCAAACCAAGGCATGCTTTTGTAATCCTCGTGAGTTTCTCCACATTCCGGAGATGCTGTTACCATTCACTGTCACAGATGCTGTTGTGTGGTCCTTGCCGAGTTTGATAGGCTGAGCAAAAATGGCCACAATCCGGCAAGGGTCTCGGCCAGCATACAAGAGACTTATGCTCTGGGGTTTGTCGGCTATTGAGAATACATGTACATACGTTGTTATTCACTAAAAAAAACAGACCTGCATATATGAAGCTGTTGCTGTTACAGTTTATCTCCTATGAGACCAGAGGGGAAGCCAACAAGGAATTACGATCAGCTAACTGATCACAAAATCAGTATTGTACCTATGCTCTGTCCTCAAGGAACCTGACAAATATGGCTCCACTAAGACTCGTGGGAGCATGATGCAACTACACTGCATCTCTGTCGGGAAAATGTGTGGTTCTAAAAAAGAGTTTGAACACACCGGCTCTTTTTCAGAGCCGCACATTCGCCCAAAACAGATGGTCAAACGGTATTACCGCAAAAGCTTTTGCTTGTAAACATGGCTTCAACCTCAAGAATTAGGGAGAGGGTTCAATAGTTGATTGAATTATTTGCATGTGTTGGTCCAATGAAATTTGACTTCACTTCATCAACTTAGTATAAAACTTATGACCTTTGACCTGTTTACTGACCTCTCCCAAGCAGCCATCTGTGGTAGAACCAGGCACTCTGGTCGTTGGGATCTGTGAAGAAAGCGTTCTGTACGAGTTCGTATTCTGAAATTAAAATAAAGAAGTCAAAGTTTGCTTCATGGTGTCAACAGAGAACATTTGAAAACCATGGAAACAGAACTTAGGAGGGAGCTACAATTAGTTTGTTACACTTAAACTAAAATTGTAATAATAATAATTTATTCATTTATAAAGCCCAAATTTCATATAGATATATTCAAATGCGCTGTACAATGAGGACATTAAGCGTGGAACTGTGAATACATTTAAACATGGTTGAGCCGATGGCATACAAGGGCGCCTCAGGCAGCTGCCAAACGACCCACATTCACCAACATCAGTAAAGGGGAGACAGTAAGAAGCAGTTACAGTTATAGAGGTGGGAGGAAAACCCCAAAGGAATATTCTGAGTAAAACCCACGGAGTCAGGTAAGGACTGAAAACCCAATCCACATGTGGACCAGGCCGGGAGTCGAACCCGGGACCACAGAGGTGGAAGGCAAGGAAAGAACTACCTTGCCAATCTGACTCCCATTTGGCACTGTCTGTTTGTTTTCTAACTTCTTCCTGTTGGATTAGAGTGGTCGGTGGATAGACAAAATTCACTGTAATTTTTTTCTGAAGCTAGCCACTGTGCGGTGTGCTATCATTGCAATAAAGCTAGATTATTGTACATGGCTAGTGTGTTCAAAAATTACAGCTTCATCAGAAACTAAATGTCTTGGCCCTTAAAAATAACCCAGTTCTTGGCCGTGGTATGTTATCTCAAAAATGAAAGGGACTCTGCCATCCTCAGCCCCACACCTTGCAGCAGGATGTCCTCCTTAACCCGCCCCTTGCTCTCCGGGTCCGGATGCAGCAAGGGCAGCAGCTTGCTGCGGTAGTGCCAGGAGGAGTAGTTGGAGAAGTTGCTGGTGATCTTGGCGTCGCTGAACTTGAGCTCCTCGGCCGGCTGGACCTTGGCCCTGGACACCACGAAGCGACGGTAGTCCCAGCAATGAACTGAAGCAACGGTTTGGGCGAGAACCTTAGCATGATTATAATGCGACTGTTCATATAGCAGAGTGGGCAATTAAACACAGTGTACTCAATGTGTGAACAAATCTAAGTTTACACTATCAGCCTTTCACGTTAGTTTTACATATAAAGACCAAGACTGTCATTAAGAGAGTTGATGTCACATTGATGGTGCTGTAAAAGCATACTCGTGACTGCTACAATGCAACTTTTGAGGTGTTAAGGCCCTCGTCAAGGAAACAACCAGACTCACAGTTCCGCTCGTCGTACTCCAGGTATTGATTGCACAGCGCCACCTCCCGTTTCCAGTCTGGTTCCGGCATGTGGTCCAGGACCCAGCCCCGGTGGTGCCACGACCCGTAAGACTTGGGGTTGACCATCAAGCAGGACTCCAGGAACACCAGCTCCTTGCTGTATCGGTCCTGCATCTCCTGTGATTCCCTGAGATGTGACGGGGACGGGGAAGAATGAGTTGTTTTGTTTCAATTCTTTCTTGTAAACTGTAATGAAACCAACGGTAGTTCTTCAAAACATGTTTAAAGTGCATGGTCACAGCACAAGAATAAAGAAAAGTTCATTTTTGGAGTTGCAAGGAAAACCTTAGAATGGCACTTCAGGGAAAACCAAACCAGCCTTAGTTCCAAGACTCCCCTAAAAATGGCCTTTCCATCATATTACAGATTCTGAAGTGAATACATGCATGTACATTTATTGGTCACTGTTTGAAGAATTTATATTCATGTATGTAAATGTTAAACTTCAAGATCTCCACATGTGAGTCAAAAGGTATCACACAGTACAGCATACATTAATTCTTGCCTTCAAGATCTCTAGATCACAAGTGCTTGTGTAACAAGAAAGCTATGCCTCCCAAGTATTGACAAATATATAAAATGAAAACCTCCACACACCAGCCCTACAATATCCCCAATGTCAGCAAACCTGCTTTCAGCGAGATTCAGGAATATTTCCCGGCGGTAATTCCAGAGAGAGTAGAAGTCCGGGTTGGCTGAGAGCAGTTGGCTGGTAAGCTCCAGGGCTTCATCATCAAACTCTCCGTCCTTCCTCTAGGAGAGAGGAATAATCAACAAAATGAAAGGCAAAGGCTTCAGGGAAGCAACGACTGAAAAGGTATGGAGAAAGACCATATCTCACCGTTCCACTCAACCATACAAAATTTAACAAATAAATCTAGCAAAAATACAGCTTTAAGAGCTATGACATTTAGACAAAGCAACAAATAAAAACCATGAGAAGAATTCCATGCGTGGACATCTCTAATTTATTCCTGCAGTAATTATCAGAGGACATGTCCTCCAAAGTCAAATCAAGCGGGCAATTACTGCAGCATTCACTTAGAAAACACCTGAAATGTTCACACCAGTCTCATTTACAGAGTTCCCGCACAGGGTGTGAAGCGATGTCTGGCCTGGGTGTAGAACTCTTTCCAAAAGTCGCATTTTTAATCATGAACTGAGAAAGTCTTTGTAGTTTTGGTCTGTCCAAACCTTTTGAAACACCCTCTGTGTTGCCCCAGTGTATAGTTTAAGCTTCTTCTCTCTTTCCTTCCTCTTTGCTTCTTGCTGCTCGGCTGTAGTCTTCACTTTGAGTCGCCCGTGCTGAGTTGATAAAAAGCAAGCCACATTGACAACAGTTTTTACGCCAACATCGTGTACTGTACAGTTTAACCCATGCAATGTGAAAAGCTGATGTGTAACTAGGCCTACTGGACCTGCTGGATGTGGAAAACATTGCTGTATTCCAGCCCATCACAAGTCCCTGTAAGTCTACTACACGTCATTCAGTCTTGAGCCAATTCACAAGCTATTCAAATGAGCTGTGACAAAAGCACTGGAGTAACTACAGAATGCAGGGCCACATGCAAATATGCCCCCGAGAATCACTGGCTACGATATCGTGTCCAATCTGTAGTCTGGTCGTAACAAAGTGGTTTTAGGAAGTGTGCACAAAGTGAACGGGAAGAGGGCGAAAAAATATTGAAGTCCAAACCGAGTAGGCTACCTGGTTGGGGGCTACGTGGCCGAGATGTCAAAAGCGTTCTCTTTGAGAGTGGAGCAACACAAAATGAATGGAGATGGTCGAAAAAAGTCTAAATCCAAACCGAGTACCTGGTTAGTGACTACGTGGCTATGATGACCCCCTCTTGAAGTAGCAAAGGAAAAACACCCTCTTTTATTACACATGACCTTGGACCTCATAGCTGGTTACAAGGTGGAAGGGCTGAGTGGCCACGTATTCTATAGTTTTGTTAAGCCCCAACGATAGCGTCTGTCCCAACTATAGCTGGGACAGTCCTAGCCAAAGTGGACTCCTTAGATGTCAGACAACTCGACCATTTGCCAACTCAACTTCGGACAACTCGACCGTTGAGACAACTCAACCGTTTGTCAATTTGTCCATTACGACAACTCGACTTTGACAGAGGAACAACTCAACCAGTGAGATCTGTAAACGTAATGCAGTCGTTTTCCCAGTTCCAGATTGCAAAAATTATTCAGTCAGATTGCAGCTACAAAATATCCTTAAATTCCAGTGAAATACGGTCACCATCCACCTTGTGTGCTAGAGATGCTACCAAATTAATTTCAAATTTTAAACTTTTAATTCGAACATACAGGATTGACGAAAGTGGCGACACTTTTCCTCGTTCTGGATCGGTTTCCGGAAAGTATCCATGCGAGCGGCAAATCTATTTTCAGCAAGAACCATTGTAAAAAGCTTATTTTCTAATGAAAAATTTCTTAGTTTAGAGAAAATTACTTTAAGAAAAAAGAATTCCAATGAATTTTAAAAAGTGTATCTTGTGTAAATTTCGACTCAATTTTCTGAACAGCTGCACAGCGTGAGCCATTAACGATACTACCTCGTGCCACACAGTTGACAAACCCATTGCATCATTTCTGCAATGTGCGTATATAGTAAGACGAGTTCACAAAGTATATTGCGTGCATGCACTTAATGCGTGATCCAAAACTAGGAAACAATATGGTTTTCAGCCAATTTTAATCAAACCCAACACTGAAAGTCATTTTGATTAAACAGACATTAGATGCAAAGGTTTATATGACTGTTAAGTATGAAAAAGTATTTGGGATCACTCGTGGTGAGTGACATATCGCCCTGTAACTATTCGTCAATTTTTTTCCGCAACCATAATTTTTGAAAAAGCCATTCACAAATGTCTAAGTGCAAATCAGAAATCTGGCCAAAAAAAATTAATTTTCTAGAAATTTTCTAAATACAAGTTTTGTTCAACAAGAAGCTTTACATTTCACCTCTAACCAGAACCTGTCCGAGAATGTAGAACAGAAGGCTAACACAAAGGAAGTAGGTTTTTATTTAAAGCGATCCAGAACTAGGTATATTCGTGGCTGGGTCAGTGTGGGTGCAAGATCGATTGATTGTGCAAAGATTGACTTACTGCGGAAACCATTTTTATAATAACTCAGAAATTACATGTAGGCTTGTCTATCAACTACATGAAATTCCATACCATTATTAGGGCATCGTATTTCATGGTATTTCAGGAGACAACTGGGCTGAGCGGACAGTGTCCTAACGGATGACTTGACTCAACAGACGACTTGTCTCAACGGTCGACTTGTCTCTCCCTTTTACGCATGGACGGTCGATTTGTCTCAACGGTCGAGTTGTCTACAGTCCAGTTATCTACAGTCGAGTTGGCAATGGTCAAGTTGTGCGGACCCCAACTCCCTGACCATACTACGTCAGTCGTAATGAAATGAAGACAACGCCCAACCTGGGCTAGGACAGTCCCAACTGTAGTGCTGCAGTTGTACTGGCCCAACTATTGTTGACCAATTTCTGTACAAAAATTCTCAACCTTATCCAAGTTTATGCATCTCACACTTGACACAATTCATCTAAAATATGGCAATCCGTCTATGACATGCATGACATTATAAACAATATGACTTTGGTACATGCTGGGCACATGCACACTACCCCCAGAACTGTGGGGACCGACGTCCGCTCCTCTCCCACACTGCAGGACCTCTGTGCTGTAGTTGGGCTGGCCCAACTATACCACTCTAGCTGGGACGGTCCGAACTATAGTTGGGACTGATGCCATGTTGTTGGGGCGTAACAGTTGTTGTACCAGAGCCGTCCTTTGTCAGTGTTAACCATGTTACTTCTGACTGGACTTGTGAGGTCCGGTTTCGCTTGTGAAACTGAATGAAAGGACTTATAGTGGACTCGAATACAACACTAGTGGAAAACTGTATTTTTCAGAGAGTAGCTCTCCTGTGACACTGGTTTTACATCTTGTGCATGATAACCTATCCTATGGAAATATTTGTTGAACAAAAAAGCTATCCTGCACTTCACAAATACAAACCATTTTGGAGAGCAGTCTTCTCGCCACCACCACCGCCTCATATGAGTCACGCTGAGCATGAATGAATTTATTGCCCTTTAACCCTTGGAAATATCATCCTACAGTTCATGTTACCCTTCGCTTTTTTATTTCATTACTTTTAGTATCGACACCAACTGTGGGATTTACGCGTGATATTAAAATGGCAGACAAGGGACCGAACGGTGAAGAAACTCTTCAGCAGAAACATCGAAAGGAGAGAAAAGAGCTCCAAGGTAAGTCGTTTAGAATTTTACCATTCAAGCATTTACAGCTAAATGGATACTTGAAAATTGTGTAACCACTTTGTAAACATTTCGTTTGTGCTGTCAATGTTGCAATTGTTGTGGGTATGCATTGTGTTGTTTGTAAGGGAGAAACCGTATAATTCCGACACTTCTAATGTTAAGCTGCTTCGAATAGAAAGACCCCACAGGAATGCCAAGCAGCCTTACTGGTAGTTTTCCAGCCTGTCATCCACAGTTGTCCCAAACCGACGCTATTCTGCTGTACTGACTGACTGGTTATCATGGCTAGAAAAGAGTTAACTTCCACAGGCCAACATCCTGATCATACAGTCGACTCTCATTATAAAGAACACTTTCTTGAATTCTTATGTTTTTCTTTGTTTTTCCACTCCTCTTATAACAAAATTCTGATTATAACAAAGTAATTTGTCTGGTCCCTGCAACTTTGTTACGAGAGTCGACTGTACGTGTAGGCCCTACATCATGTACATGAGCATGATGAGCACTGCTTGACACCCTGTCAATGTCATGCCTGTGCACAAACCCAATGAGACTAGACAGGTCTGAAAAATTGTAAGTGCTATCTTAAGCAAATACTTCAACATTTGCCCTGCTACATTTGACTCTTCAGGACATTTTGTTGCTTTTATCCTATTTGCAGGCACAACTTTGCGTGACCTTAGGTCAGTGCTAAGTGAAAACAAATGCATTTTACGTTACTTTGCATGGCAAAAGTGCACCACACTGGCTGGAAGTCATGCAGTTCACATCCTCCTATAGGTCACTGCAGGGGAAAAATCAGTGCCGTTCGTTAATGGAATTCTTTCCCAGTCGGCATTGAACATGGGGATATATTTATACTTGATTCCCCTTTCAGAGGGGATGAGTATGTGAGGTAATCAGTTTGGCAGTCAGCCATAAAGGCCTGCATATGCTTGCAGTTCCATCCGTGGGTCACATTGGCAGACTGCCAAATTCTTTCGCACCTAAAAGTCACAGTATTATCCTTTCATGGTTTAAATCAAATCCTTAGTTAAATTACAGGTTATTTCTGCTTTTTTATGGTCCATGGCTTTAGAGGAGTTCTTTTGGGAGGAAGAGAAGTCCAAAATTACACAAGGTCTGAATTCCATCTTGTGAATGGTTTCACAAAGAGTTCACAATGCAGGCATGGAACCAGATGAAGATTTGTCATAATGTACTTCTGAGCACCCAACAAACAACTGGGTATATTCAGTTCTCCTGGTGGTACTATAACCAAAACATATCTGGACTATTCCATTGTCCAGATATCCACTGCCAAAATTACATGAAGATATTCAGAGCATTTTGGGGCAGCTTCCCAAAAGAGAAAAAAATGACATCCTCATGTTACAATGTGCATGAAAATGTGAAATGTTCCTGTGTTCTTGGTCTAGCTCAGATACAAGCATTGAAGCGCTCAATTCCTAAAGGAGATAAGAAGAAGAAGAAGGAAGTGACAGCAGAAATCGCCAATCTAGAATCGGACCTCAATCAAAGGCAAGAAGAGGAGCTTGGTGCGTTTAGAGAAGCAGAGAAAGGGGACACAGATGCTGAGACAAAGGTAGAAAGGATGCGCCAGTGGTTTGGTCTTTCGTATTGCCCGTTTCCAAACCTACATGTATCGTTCAGTTCTTACCCCGGGGTCGTCATGCTGTGCTGCATGAAACTTTTATGACCCAAGTTTATCCACTGCCCCAACATTGTCCAGTGCCAAGTGGGGGCATGCTTTACTTTCTTGGCGCAGGTGGGCATGCCCCAACCGTGAAAGAAACACTGAGTTAGAGGGCATAGACAAGCAAGAAATACCATGAATATGAACATGTACTGAAAATAAAATACTGGGATGCCAGTCTTCAGGCCGTAGCCTGATTGCGGCCTTTTTCACTTGCAGTGTTGGGCCGATTTCAGGCCCTGATAAGGTATATGTAGGCTTCTCCAGCCTTCATCTTAGGCTCTGGACAAGAATATGCCACGCATCTCTGAAAAATACGAGGAAAGAAGCCAAATTAAGTGATAAAAATGATAGAGTATGAGATATGAGGGGAGGAAGGATGACAGCAAAATCAGTGGAATGCAGCGATGTCAGTAAGACATGAATTAGCCACGTTATTAGGCCATCTTGACTATTACAGTAGAGTTTGTAAAAGCCCTCTTCACGAGTGGTAAAGCCCAGGTCTCAAGTTGTATCTGTTTGTCCTCCTTTTGTATTCAATTCTGCTGGGTAACCTAAACTGGGTAAGACCAATTTTGTTGACCCCAACTTGGCACTGGACATGGTTTGGGCAGTTGACAGAGAAATGTGAAACTTCAAAAGTGAAGCAAGGTCATTACAAAGTTAGACTATTCTGAACATCGTTGACACACCGTGTTGATGTCTTTATGCATACTAACCTGTTTCCCAATTCCACTGCAGGCCAATGAGAGCTTACCGGAGCAAGTCAGCAACCTGAGCATAGGAGAGAGTACAAATACACAACCCACCCGAATAAGCAAAGCGCAAAAAAGACGGGTGAGTATCCCACCACAAGAGGGGCTTTGAACCGTTGGCCAGTGAATAGAATTCAAGCATGAGTTTTAAAGGGGCATGGTATTGTTGAGCAGGGATGCTGAAAGAAATTGATTGTGGTTTAGTTGGAGCTTAAATGTCAAGCAGTTGGCCGAGATACGTTGGGAGTGAGCTCAGGCCATCACGGGAGGAGGTCAGACCCCAGACAAAATGCTTGTAGAAGACCATTCTTGAGACCAGTCACGAGTCACAATGAACAGTGACAAAGCAATGCTTTAGTGGCAGTTCGTTTGAGGAACTTGTGACTGGAATTCATGACTGGAATTCAGATTGGAGGTCTCACAATGGACAATCTGGTGGTCTCGTGATGGTCTCACAGGGTCTCTGCTGACTGGAGGTCTCACGATGGACATCTGGTGGTCTCATGAGGGTCTCACAGGATCTCTGCTGTGAAACTGCGAGGCACACAGTATCTTTCTGTTCTATTTTGTATTTGTTTACATCCTCAACCCTGTCTCGTTCCTCTCTGAATTTGGAATTTCCTTTTCCATGTGACCAGGACAAGAAAGCGGCCAAGGAGAAGGAATGGGAGGCTAGGGCTGCAGAAGATGCAGCCAACTTGGAGTTCAGCTCCAGGAGGATCGAGGAGAAGAAGATTGAGGCTCTGTTAGCTGAGAGAGGGCTGCGAGTCAAGGAGGTAATCTCCAAGTAACAGTTTAACCCATGAACGGGTTTGTAAGTGGAGGGTTCTCCTTTGTCCTTATTGAATTGATTTTTGTGTTTTTCTGTCTTTTTTTCTGTCTTTCTGTCTTTAGATATCTTCAGATGGACATTGCCTATACAATGCAGTGCAGTATCAGCTTCAATTACATGGACGGCAGGTTAGTAAATTAAACCAAGTCATTCAATAGTGGTCATGTTTTTTTTCTGTCCGGTGTATATCATTTAAACAATTAGACAGAAGACCAAAGTTGGTTAGATATAGGTACATGTAGGTTTTATATGGGTAGTCACTTGTGGTGGGGTATTAAGCTGGTCTGCAAATTATCTTTCAAAAAAGTAATATTAAAATCAAAAATAAGGTTAACTTAAGGTCCATTTGAAGGATTACATTGCATGGAACCCTCAATTGCAGTTTTCCTTTGTGTTATAACAATGAGTGTAATTGATTTACTGTACAGGTTTCAATGCAGCAATTGAGGGAACAGGTTGCCGATTACATGCTGGCTCATGCCGACGATTTCATGTACTTCCTCTCCATGCCAGACTCGGGAGACCCGTATACATCAGGTGAGTGGCAGTAGATTCCAGCCAGGGACACGTCTTACTGAAATTGCATCACTGCACAATTTGTGTCAGTCGTTAGTTGGAAGGTGTTTCAGAAGAGTTACTTCTTTGGGTAAAGAAAGAGTCTTGGTGTGTCAGACAGCGGTATAAGTTAAGTTGCACCAGAAATGGTAACCTGGAAATTTATGCTGTGTTTAAGTAACTGGCAATGTCCTTCAAGATAAATGAACAATAGACTGCTTGAGGTAAAAGGGTTGATCAGGTTGGTTCAATTTATTTTTCTTATTCAGTTGGAACTGTGTCAATATTATCTCAAGACATGCTCCTGGGACTTACGTTTGCTTTAGTGAAGGCGGATTCCTTCAGGTTGGAGTTGCTTAAGTCTTACACAACAAAGTTAAACTGGGAACCAACTTTTTTTTTCAATCATCGGTTTGTTGTCTTTGATCTGTTTGACAGAGGAATACGAGAAATACTGCAGAGATATTGCCACCACTGCAGCTTGGGGAGGTCATCCCGAGGTGAGGCATCTATTGCTGTAGGAACTTGTGCCAGAATTACACAATGACTCTCGTGAATATGACTGGCTAAGATGAATATTGTACCTGTTAAGATCAAAGTGTTGTCTTTCTGTTGCGATCGAATCAGGAGGAATCACAAGTGAAAATACTGAAAATATTTGATTTCGTCCAGTTGCCCGGTGCACAGTCAGATCTGTGCAATTCTAGAGTGCATAGCACTCTAAACTGCACCAACAATGGTCCGGTGAGCCGGCCAAAATTGGAAACGTGTACAATAGGGCTTAGAAGTTGTTCAAACTAGGCTCATGCTGTCCCATCTGCTCAATCTTTAAAGGCATTCCAAGCCAAGCCTTTGATATCATTTTTCTCCGGAAGGCTTGTGAAAATCCGCCGTCTCCTTGTTATTGAGGTTTCATCGTGATTTGTTGTCTTATGAAGTTTTTGTCTGTGTTCACAGATCAGTGCAATGGCTCATATCTTCAAGTTACCCATTCAAGTGGTTCAGGCAGACAGTCCCGTATTAACCATTGGGGAAGAGTTCCAGCAAGAGCCGCTTGTTCTGTCGTGAGTAGTCATCAAGAGTGTCTGTCAACAGGGAAAGCCAATGACGTTCTCCTCCTCGAGAACAGGGAAAAATTTATGGACGTGTAAAGCAAATTTTCATGCCAAGGTGTTCTGACCTTGAGAAATGTTTTGAAGCCATGCTGTCTTGTGGCTTGAGCCGAGGGCTCCTTCAGGGATGGTCTTACTACAGAGACTGAATGTTCATGGCTAAAGACTTCCTCCAATCAGGACCGTTGGCCAAACAAATGAATAATCGGCTTGCCTGCTGTCTAGCCAACAGTGCACAGAGATCTTTGGGCGTGTTCATCCCCACCGTCTTGCAGGTTTAACTCGTCTGGCACAGCCATCCCCAGATTTTTAATTTGGTCACTTTAAGATAGGTTTAAAAGATTAGATTTGGGAAGAATCTGGTGAGATCAAAGACTTTCATACTGAATGGCACTCTACTGGACATCTCTGGGTGACAAGAATGTGTTTGTAGTTACTTGTTTTTCTACCTGTTCCCACAGGTATCACCGACATGCATATGGATTGGGAGAGCACTACAATTCCACAACACCCTCATCACCTGCAGTCGGCCAACAGGCTGATCAGCAAGATCAACAAGATCAACAGGATCAACAAAATCAACAGGATCAAGCATTATAACGATGGATTGCAGGCAAGGCCTGCTTCATTCTACGCTCAATTTTTTTTTTTTTAAATATCACCTGAACCCATCTTGACTGCTCTGCTAAGCATCAGCTTTCCTGGTAACTGAAACCTGTGTGTGCAGTTAAAGCGCATTAACCCATTTCATAGAGCTGCTGAATACGAATAGTTGCTAAGCACACAAAATATTTGCTTAGCATCAGTTCAAAAGATCGAGAGTAGATTTCAGTTTGAAGTAGCGATGGCTATTTTCACGTATCTTTATTATAAGGGAATAAAAGTGTAACATGGTGGTTTTAAACCAGTACATTTATAAACCGTCTGAGAGTCCCAGTGACAATTCAGGGGCGTGCTTATTGCTGACTGGTTGTAACCACTTCTGAGTTGTGGTTTATCGCGACAGACTCTGCACCAAACAGTGTGTTCAAACTGTTTCAGGTATTTATGGATAATCAATGTAGTCTCCAGATTACTTCTACTACAGCTCTTAGCTATACATTGTGTAGTTAAATATTGAAATGCCTGTTTGTAATGTTCTAGCTTCATATGGAGAACTGCGTGTGCCTGATATCCTTGCACTGAACACTCCTTTTCTTCACGTTTTGCTGAAGATCAGTCACAGTGAGTTGAAGTCACTTATTCAGGTCTGCTACGGATACTTTCAGTGTTTTCTTCCATCCTAGTTAAATTCCTAGGAAGTCAAAGAAGTTGTCAGGCTATTGACATGTTTTGACAGTTGGTGGCTGTAGTGTACTGATTCAGGAGAACATCATTGTTCTGCTGTGGTGATGTGGTGAAAGAAACCAAAGGATTATTTACAAGAAATGCTTGTCGTGTCTGTGGTTTTCGTGACCTGAACAAGTTTTTCAAGCTTCAGCTGTCATATGATGGCTCTCAGACATGCAGAGAGTTCACCGACCTCACCGACTTCCATTGAGCCAGTTTGGTGTTCCAACAGCATAGTCCAATGCAAGTCTACATGTGTGGGATATATTCTGTCCTATCAATACAGTCATGAGCTTACTCACAACTGTCCATAAAGACCCTGTCTTTTGAAACACTGAACTGATTCATGGAATAATTGCCAATGCTCCATGTAGCCACCAACATGGAAGGCTGTACGTCTCCCTCAAGTGTCCTTAAGTGAAATGATGCTGTCTTCATCACAGCAAGGCAAAATGTTGGGAGTGCGGGAGCTCAACATCAGTGTGGTTTGACTATGTACCGCACAATAAAACAACTGGTTAAGGAAAAGGTTGAAGATCAGTGTAATTAACCAAGCAGGTTAGCTGATAATGCATTGTGCCATCCGACAAAGCTCAAATACATGTACATGCCACAAGGATTGCGTCATACAATTTGCCCCTATGCGTTTTTGAAATATGTGTCTTTATAATTCAGTGCTCTGGCCAGTATATGTTAACTGGTTCTTGATGGCTGTCTCAACTCACGCAGTTCATATCAATTGCTTTTATTTCCATAGGGATTGTACATGTCTTTGTAAATCTTACTATATTTGGTTCACCATAACGTTCCCACAGCAACGTTCTTGAGGATGCATCTTACTACATAAGTCACCAAGCAGCCAAGAGAAAACAGACTTGAAACAAAATATTAAGTATTTAGTTTTGGTGCACCACAAAGTGACCTATCATCCATAGGCTTTGTAAATGCAATGTGACAGTCCCTGGTAGAGCAACTATATCCATGATACATCAGTTCTTGGTGCAGCAGACGAAATACAAGAAGATACTTGTTCTTGAATTTACCACTGCATTGTGGAAATAAACTCGTATTAAATATGTCAAATTCTGTTTTAATTGTGTCTAATTTGTTTTATTAGTTAATGATGAATATAATTTGGGGTTTTTGGGCTCACAGTTTGGTTAATTTGGGATGTAGTTGAAATCAGGCTTCAATTTTGGAACCGAAAGAATTCAACAATGAAGTTAAATGAAATTCATGAATCGTTTCAACAGCACACCTGCAAACATTTCCAGATTTTCTTCTCTACACCACTTTTTTCTACATTGTCAGTTACATGGGCTTGGCTGCATGAACTTCTAATGACCTTGAAGAAAAAGTATGGGAAACGTAAGATTTTGCATTTTTTTATTTAGGTTTTTTTTTTTTTTTGGTTTCATGTGATTTGTATTGAACTGGTTGTGCAGAGATTTTATTTCGTTGGCTGGAGATTTTGAGGACAAAGAAGAGAGCGCGAGTGAACACATGAGGGCGCCATACCTAACAAAAACTTTTCGAAGCGAAGATGGCGGCGTGCGTGCGAGGTGTTTTGCCCGAAGATGTGGCTGAAATGGTTTCCGCTTGCCGGGTTTTAGTGGTGGGAGCCGGCGGGATTGGATGCGAACTCCTGAAGAACCTCGTCTTGACAGGATTCCAGGACATCGTTTTGGTAATAGAGGAATTCATGACATATTTTTCTAGCAATATTAAAAACTGTCAAATGAAGAACACGAACTCACTGTGTCAGACTTAGACATACAGTCAGTAGGCTAGGGCCTAGACCCGTAAACAGGGCCCAACGAATACTCCTCCGTCGTATACTGGGCCCTGTGCCGATTAATGGGGATTTCTTTTGAAAACTTTATCCGGGACATTCGGGGGCATAACTAAACATCCGCTTAATTTTATGAGCTGAAATTGCACCAGTATGTTCACTACTTACTTAATATTGTACTAACGCTGTAAAAAATCCACTAGGTTGCTAATTGTAGAAAATTCGCCTTTTCCTCGTTGGGAGGAAAAAGTGTTGCCGTTTTTGCAGTTTTCCCACTCTGTACGAATTTTTGCCTGACTCGTACATTACACAGACTCCTTTGTATGGTTAAGTAATGGTACCCTGTGCGAGAGCCTGTCTAGTTTATCCCCAGACTTCAGCAGACTTGAACACTTTCTGTTGAGGCCATACTTGGATGCGAACAAAGATCGCTGCCTGTCATGCCTGTCGGTATCCGTCCGAACACGTAAAGTGTTCACTGTGTGGCAGTGCGCTCACGTGCACTTGTACTCAATGGCTGTTGCTTGTCGTTCCTGCAATTCGGACATAAATAATGAGGAGCCCTGTGATTGGTCAGATTTTTTTTAAAAGGCATGGTTTTGGCCCATTTTTTTTTGTAATCAGAACAAAGGGATGTAAACTACCATATTTAGAAATCTTGGGGGGAAATGGAGCAACATTTCTATGGGTACACAACTAGAATAGAATCCCTGCTTGTGCCATGTTAAATGTCATGTAGAGCCTATGGTGAAAAGGCTCACTTTCTGTGGGGTTCGTGGGAGCGGAGCACGTCAGACTCCACAGTTGGGGGGGTATAAATTAGGGTGGTTGGTTGGGTAAAGATTTTTTTTTGCTCTAGGGTCGGATGATGGACTATATTTTTGGCGGGGGAGGGCGCGTATATTTGTAACAGGTACTAAGTCAGTGTCAGATTAATAATGTATATGTGCACGTCAATATTACATATCAGCACTGTGCTTGAGTAGAAAAGCAACTACTTATTGAAGTACAAACACACAAGAGCCATCCATCTCATGCCAAAAAAAAGAATAATACACTGTACAGGATGAGGTACACAAAATTAGGGTCTGTGCAAAGTACGGTAAATTTTTATAGTTTATTTATTTGTCAAATAAAAAGATCTAGGTTCCGTGTGATTTTCTAGGTTGGGTCGGATAACTGGAAACACAGCTATTTTTTTTTTTTGGCCTGGGGGAAAAAATCAAGTCGTTTACTTACAAAACACTTAAAATTTTCAGACCAGTCTCTTAGGGTTTATGCGTGTACAGTGCATGTATGAGGTGTCAAGTGGAGTCCGTATATGGAACTCTTTCCCGCCTTTTTAAACATTTGGACATGGTTGGGCTGTAGTCATGATAGTAGGCCTATAAATGTCCAAGTACCTTCCATATACTTTTGTTTCCATTAGGCTTAGGCCTAATGCATTTAACTCTAAAAGTGTCGTCGCTAGCCCAAATCCAAATTCTCTGAATTCACCTCCAAAACAGTCCTTAAACTGTTAAATGTGCCCAGTTGAGGATTAGGTGAAATCAGAGATTCTAGTAATGATAGTAAGGTTTACTCACATATGGGGAGAAAAAAGGAATTTCCGCTTCAAATCAGAAACGCTCTTGTTGGCGAGCTCAAAGTCTCCATCTTCTCCATAATTAAAGTGATTTAAATTGTATGTTAATGCCCTGGAGACAACGTCACGGCGCGCTGGCCTAGCAGACCGTACAGCTATAGAATCCAAGTTTCTCAGACTAGGATGTACGCAACTTTGTGTGTGCATCTGGGAACTTTCGCAGCCTAAAGTCATAGCGAGGAGAAAACACAGTTGACTTGTCGCAGTGTACATGTGCATGTACCTGTTTGTTTTCACTGCAAGGGATCACAAAGCTCCTGGGTGAACACATAAAGTTGCATCCATCCATAGGAAAGAATTCCATGTACTGCACAGACATCTGTCACTCGATGCCCCGTGTAGAAACCTGTGGGACTGGCCTGAAAAGTAAATGCTTCAATATTTTCCTTGCTAGATTAGACTCTTTAGGACATGACACATGTTAGCTGTCACTTTCTGATGGCTAGTAAAGTACCGTAAGGGAAAATTAGTGATGTCCGTATATGGAACTCTTGGCCTTGCATTTGGCATTGCAAATAAACCCTAATCAGCAATATTCACCCCAGAAATCAATAACGTAGGACCCTACAATTAGTTTTATAAAAATACAGAAGGAAAGCATGTTGCAAGTTTTGCTACATTGCAATAAAAGAGGAAATTTTTCCATACTCCATAAATTTTCTTCTACCATATCTGGCAGTCTGTCTACCATTTGTCTTTTATCAAGTATTTAAAAAAAAAACACCTGCCCATGGCTGTTCATTGCTGGGTTTCAGGTACTGTAACTGCCATGACCAAAGTTGTTCAAAGACACATTATAACTGTTGGTGTCTTTAGAAATTATTTTGGGCCCAACTCTTGTGCAGTAGCCCAGGAGTGGAGCCTAAAATGCCTGACTTTTCCACGTCTAAGTAAAGTCTGTTACACTTTTAGGTGACTGTCTGGCTTCCTGAATGTGGTCTGGCAGTATTGGCTGAGTTTCCTTGGAGATTTGTTGGGTTGGAAATTAAACTAGCTCAGATTAAAAAATGAAGCCTGGAGGTAATTCCTGATTACATAGAAAACATCCTGACCTCAGCCAAGGCCCTATTTTCCAGATGCCATGTGTATTAGGGTTTGAGTTGCTGGAGTTGACCAGTGTATGGCGCAGTATGGACTGATTGCACCCAACATTGCCTCGAGGCAGTGGATACCAGGATTCAGGAACCGGCGTTGACATGCTTTGCTTTCTTGCACAGCAACATGAGTAGTGACTGTTTTGGGTGACTTAGAAGTTTGGCATTTATTAACGAAAGGACACCATTCCTGTACAAAAGTGAAACTTTTTTTTTTGACTTGCCTGAACAGATGACAGTGACACCATGCAGGATTTATTTTGTTCAAAAAGGGCAATAGTTTGAATTTTTGAGCGAAATCCGGGGTAAAAACGTTGGCAACAAATCAAACGTCTGTGGTAGACTGTTGATTGGTTGATGGAAATTCCACTGAGAAAGCAGTTCTGAATCTCTGTTTAGCCCTAGACGTCATTTATTCTGGGGCTTGTCATGAAACTACTCGAAAGCTGTGAGTGTGCATTGTACACATGAAGTTCACCACGACATTTGGTTTGCTTTCAGAAACTTAGGTCAGAAGGTCACATTTTCTCCCAATTTGTCATTCAGAATTCTACAGAAAAGGGTAGATATAATTAACCACTTCGTGCCGGGGCATTTTTCAATGTTGACGATGCTCGGTCGGCATGACTATCATTTTTTCCGTTTTCAAAATCCTTCAAAAATTCATCATTTTGTTTAACGGTCGTTTATAGCCG